AATAAATACATATCCCAAGTTTGAATGCCGGCTGTTTCTGTTCTGTTGTCATAGGACTCGAGTGGAAAGGGAAAAAAATTGAGCGAGACAAAGAGAGAGAAATAATAATGGAAGGGAGATTGGTAACAAGGTTCCTAAGTCTCTCGCCCTAACCGGCCCAGTGGCTCTCCCTCCCTTCATCGCTCCGTTTCGCGTTCGGCCCGACAATGGACGCGCAAAGCCCGTGGGGATTTGGCGTCGAAGCCTTTTCCTATGTACTTCCAACTCGTGCGAATAAAGAGCCCGAGGTCGAGGCAATACCTTCGACTACAACCGTGTAATATTCTTACGCTTATTTTCTGCTGCAAAAAAGGGGTTGAAAGGCAGATCTGAATGACTCCAGAAGAATAAGAAGTGAAGAAAAAAGAATAGTATTGAGTCCCCGGCATTTATTATAAATAGCGTCATGTTGCCGAATATTCATTGAGTCTTTTTACTCGTATTCTTCACTTTTTCCAAGGGCAAGAGGGAGAGAGAGAGAGAGAGACGTAGAGAAACGGCGACAGAGATTCGAAAAAAATGCTTACTTCCGTCCCACCGAAAAACCGAAACCTCTCTCCCCTCATTCACCGTTTCAATTTCGCTTTTTTATTTTTCTTTCTTTCTTTTCAGTTTTATTTCCTTTGAGGGACAGCCACCCAAACCCAAGGAATGGAGAGCATATGGCCTGAACTAATCTTTCCTGAAAGTGTTTACTCGTAAACATCTGTACAGGATTATAACTCGGAATTTATCAGAAAAAAGAAACTGGAATTTCTTAACGTTCTTTCATGAGGTTTTTGAATGACTTCAAATTTGACACCTTGCTTCTACTCAATTCGTCATGAATATTCACTCCAATATGATGAGAATGACTCATTTGATAAACCTAAAACCTGTCCTATCCGGAAGGCCAAAAATTCCCGATCGAAAACAACAGAATTGATCTCATTCTACACAGTTAGATTTTTTTTTAATTTCATGGACGATATTATAGTAAATCTTATCAGAGTGACATTGAATCGGATTTGGGGAAAAAATAGTTATAAAATTTCAAGTTTTAAGGATAATTCGGCGAGGAGTAGGATATTCAAAAAATGCAGCCAATTTTATAAAGATTTTTTTCACACATTATTGAATCCAACAATTAGACACTGTTGACAAAATTTGAGAAGCCCCAGGAGCAGGACAACAACAAAAATGATTTTTAAAGTTGCTGCTTATACATGAGGTTAAAGGGAGCATTGATAACTCGTGCATTTCCCCTAAATTATCGACCAGTCGGCAATGTGGAAAAAATACTGAAATTATCGATGATCCATTTTACGTCATGTATAAGCTGCAACTTTGAAAATCATTTTTGTTGTTGCTCTGCTTTTGGGGTTCTTCAAATTTTGCAAACCATGTCTGAATAGATTCACTAATGTGGAAAAAAATCGTCATAAAATTGGCTGCATTTTAAATATTAAAAATCCTGCTCCTCACCCGACTATCCTTAAAGGGAGACTCCTATGAGTTTTAAAAATCGTGGGATATTGGAGTGAGATTTCTCATGCATTGAAGATCGATTATGCATGTCTAAAAACGAATAATTAGTGAAACAAAATTAATTCTTTCTTGTTGGTTTGCTCCGCGGGCGCTTAAAATGTTAAAAATAGTCCGGGGCCTCCAATTTGTGAGCTACAGAGGTTTATTTTCCAAATTTTTTAAAAAAATGTGTACAATTACGAATTAGTTTTTATAGCACGCGACTTTTAAAACTCAAGTAGTCTCCCCTTAAGGACGTACTAAACCCTTTCGGCCAAAATTCACTTTTTTTTTCATTTTTCTGGAAAATTATTGATCGGATTGATGCGAAATAATATACCGTTTTTGCGTTTCATCATTGTTGACTGACTCACGAAGTTTCATGGTAGTGCAATCATTTTCCTGCATGTTTTCTAAAGTTTTGTGAATTTCTGAAAAGTTTTAGAAAAAACGAAAATGATTGTACGATCATGAAATTTCGTGAGTCATTAAGTAATGATAAAATGCAAAAACGGTATATTTTTTCACGTCAATCTGATCAACAATTTACCAAAAAAATTCAAAAAATGTATATTTTGGCGAAGTAGACTTCACGGAAATTTATGAGTTTCCAGTAGAAGTGAGATGGAAATTTCACAACTTGATTGAATTTTCAGTGCAACATGAATATTAAAAATCAAAATGACATAAATTTTCAATTTTTCCCTGAATTTTTCTGATTTTTCTGAATTATCACAGAATAATTGAGCTGAAAAATCAAGTATTTTACTGATTTTCAGATCATTTAAACAGAAGCTCAATGGAATATTCAATTTTCCAAGGACAAGATTCCCTAAAATGTCAGTGGAACTTGAACATGATAAAAATTTCCAGAATTTAGCCCGGAAAATTCAGACGAAAATTGTCAACAGTGTACTCCAATTTTCCCATAGAATCACATAAAAATTATTCCACCGTAATCCTTTCCTCCTCAACCTCAAAAACCACTGCGCGAGAGAAGATTCCAGCCGATGTATTCATCCCCAAATTTCCGTGCCACCCACCACCTGTACCACTCTCTCGTCCCGCACCTCATGATTGATTGATTCATCTCCTCAAGTGACTCAACCCAACCAAAAAAAAGTCTAACGCATTCCAATCAGCTGAGCATATGGAGCCCCCGTGTTCAATGCGTCTACTGCGTTGTACCGGCCGGTGCAGTCACGAAGAGACAACCGACAGCTCCAAAAGGGCCGCGGTAAAGTGAGCAAGTGAGACGGCAACACCACGTGGTGTCATTTTAGTAAACTCACTGTTAAAAGCGAGACGAAACGAGAAAGAGACACTGACGTGTTCTGTTCTGTTCAGTTTTGTACTGTATGTGAAATGAGTGGAGGGGCAGAGGAGTGAATATTTGTGGAGAGGGGAGTGTGCACTCATATGTTCTGTCGGGGAACGGCAAGTGAGGGGGGGGAGGGGGGTCGACAGGGGGGCGGGGAGAAAGAAACACGAGGATTGAGGAGAGAAGGGGAAGAACTAAAAGCAGGCCTGTTGGTTGGTTTCAACTATATTTGTTTATATTTACACAATAAGCAACAGCCCCGGCGGCGGGCTTCGGTCGACTCGGTGTACGCGCCTGGCATCACCCGCTTTTAGTGTTTAGTCCTCGCTCTATACTCGGCACATCCACGTTTAACCGCGTACACACGTCTCAACGTTATTTCCCTCCAATTGCGTTTTTTTTGGCTTTTCACACCTCTCGTCTTTTTTTTCCCTCTTTTATTCAGTCGTGAATGAACATTTCGTACCTTTTCCGTGCGTGAAGGCTCAGCGCACTCCATCCAGTTTTTTACACATCCCCTACTCCCCCCCCCCTCCCCCCGGCGGCTTTTTTTCCGACGCTGAGCCGCACGTGAATTTTCCGCGTGTGATAATTTTTTATTTAAAACTCTGAGTGGTCGGGCCAATGTGATTTCAGTTTTTTTGTGGTTCTTTGTTGTTTTTTTGTTGAACTGTGCATTTTTTGTGGATAATTTAAACTGTGCAGTTTATGGAGGATTTATATCAGTGAGGATTTAATTTGCGGAATGGAATTCAGTGAGAACTTATGTAAGATCACGGATTTATTGAGGGGAAATTTTTGGGGAATATTCGATTTTTATTGTGTGTGTTTAATTTAGATAATTCGCGGAACAAGTGTTTGTCGTTGGGATTGACCCCATTTTTTTTTACACGGTGCTTTCTCTTGGCTTTATCAATTATCAGGTTGAAATTCTGTAATTGAGTGGTAAAACACGGTGGTTTGGATTTTACAATTTTGTTAATTGAATGATTATGTCCGAAACGAGGAGTCTTGCGAGAAAATGTAGATGGATTTTTTTGTGGGAATTTCTTCAATTACGAAAATGGTCTTGTGATATTTCTCCTGCAACCACTTGTTTCTGAGATTTTCCTAGAGGCCCTTTCAATTAAGAACAGCGGGTTTCATTTAAGAATAATCTTTCCTCTTTGAAGACATTATCACATGGCGAAATGTCAATTGTGTTATTGAAAGGATGGGATAATGTCACCTGATATGAGAAAATAAAAACTGGTTTCGGCTCAATATTTCACGACGTATTAGGCAAATTAATTTGATGAAATGGAAGATTGCTGTCTGTATGTTGAGAACAAATTGGACGAAATGGTTCTGTTTTTTTTAAATTTTATTCACGGTGAAATGCAATTTTTAATGTTATGATATTTCATACAGTTGAATTTTTTTGAAGAGGAGGTTCATCCCGGAAAAAAATTATTTTTGAAAAGTATCATTTTTCGCGTGAATTTTCCTTAGCAAATTCTCTAGGCCAAAATTGTTTCCGACTGCTCAAAATTGAACATTCTATTTTTTTTTAACCGTAAATTCGATTTATAAAAAATCTCCAACACAGAAATTTTTAGAATATTTTTATGAATACGTTCATCAATTTTTGCTTCTTACTTTTTTTAAATGTTAACAACTTATTGAATTGTTGATGAAATGGAATAATTTATTTCTCGTCTCACGTCTCCATGAATTATTCCCTTTTATCATACGCCAAGACTGAGATCAATTGATAACGCTATTTTCAAGTCATGAATATTTCAAAAAAAGTCAAATGGTCCATTTCACCCCATCCTCCTCTATCTGATTTTGAACGGTTGGAGACAATTTTAAATTACAGAATCGGGTGCTTGAGAAATTCTTTTTTGTAATACCTCCCTCGAAAGTGCACTTTCCGGTTATTGTCCGCACGCCGTGTGTAAAATTCACGAACATGTGTAGAATAAACAAAAGGCACTTCTTAACACGCGTCGCGCGCAAAGACAGTTGAAATTTCTGATTATAAATTTGACATTCACTTCGCTGTAGAATTATTCACACCGTCGGAATTTTTTTCAATAATTCGCAGAAAAAATGAAGATGTTAAAGAAAGAAATGAATGTGGTGATTCCAGGACGATGGCATAATGGATCATGAGACGGACGGAGACGGAGCGATCAACTTGTCAACGTCTCAGCGACCCTCCGCCTCTACAACCCCGAATGGTGATGGTCCAGTCTACGGCCAAGATCAACAAGACAACGATCAGGTACATGCAAAAATCCCCCATCAAAAGCGAAAGGAAAAACGAAAAATATCCGATGAAAATTTCCTCCTCAATTTCCCGCCGTTTACGTGGTGGAAAAAAAATATTGGGAAAATATAAACAGGGGGTTGGCCTCCGGATAACAGTGCGATAACGGGCAAACGCATTTACCCGGATATTTGACACCGTCCGCCATAAAATCGACCTCATGCCTCGTTGTAACCCACTTGGTTTTTTTCTCCACATTTCAAATTCAATTCAAAATCCCGCGTCACACGTGGGGGTTGGCTTGCGGGCATGTGCTGGTTTTGTTGCATAGTTGAGAGGGCGCTCTGACGCAGTAGAGAGGGAAACAAATGTTTTATGGCCCTTAAAGCGGCCTTTTCGTGGAATCCAGTTAGGTAAGGGGTACTTGGGAGATCACAGTGCCTCATATGTGTGCAAATACGGAGAATAAAGAAGTTTTTCGCCTTTAGGAGATTGAAAAAAAAATGACGCACAAATGTTTAATGTTTTTTCCACATTTTTATTGAAGTAATTTGCATTTTTAATTGCTTCAATAATGAGAGTGCGAGCAATGCGAAGGAATAGTCCACGAAACATGATTCTTCACTCATTATTGAAAAGAGATCATTGATCATCTTTCGATAATTATCAATTCAGTAGCGAAGCGGTAAACCCGGTCAAGTCGATTTTTCCTTTTAGCCATTTTTTGATGAATATCTCAGAATCTAAGAGAGATAGCAAAATTTTGCTTATGACCTATTTTGTAACCCTCAGTTGGCTCTACAAAAAAGGTTATGACAACAATTTTTGTATCTCTTTTAGATTCCGAGATATTCGTCAAAAACTGGCCAATAGTTAAAATCGACTTAAACCGGTTTACCGCTTCGCTCCTGAAATTTAGCAAACATTCCGAGAGACATATTTTGTCGGTTTGTTCTTTTATTCAGTAAGAATTTTCCATTCAATTTTCTCGGTAACACTTGACAAGTTTGACGAAAAATCAGAATTTCACAAAAATTGTAGGTCTATTATAGCTGTTATTGGAATTTCTTAACAGTGAGTAGATTTAACTATTGTTCCCAGGACGTGAGCGGATTCGTTCATGTGATACGTTATTTTTGTATATTATTATTAAAAAATATCAATATCATTATTATTAAAGAATAACAAATTCGATATTCCTCATTGAAAAATTAACAATTTCGTTAACTCTTCACCCAGCTAACGATTTACCAGTAAATTTCCGGATATTTACCGATCTTGCCGAAGATTGTTAGACGCCACCCGTAAAAATTGTTCCCTGGGTAATAATGGGATCATCAAATAAATGGAAATTTTTAATTTTAGGCCAATTATTCTGTTAAAATTCATAAAAATAATGAGAATTCAGGTCATTTGTATTCTGACAATTTATGTTGAACTGAAAATTCAAGTAAGTTGTGAAATTCCACTGAGTATTTCCCCAACCGGAATCTCGGCCAATATCGGCCTTCCTATAGGAGGGCCGCATTTGATGTCACGTGGTACAACCTATACGGTTTTATGTCGGCAAAATTTGGTAAAACCTCGGCACGTTGCTAAGGGAGAATAAAAAAAATAATTGAAATGCGAAAGTGTAGGTTGTACCACATTGACATCAAATGCTGCCCTCCAGTGACCGAAATTCCGATGGAGGAAATACTCCTCCAAATACCCCTCGAGCTTCCAAGTGCATCGGGTTTTTCCCTCAAAACCTTCCCTACAAACAAACAATCGTGTCAAGTTTTGTAGGAAAATCCCTTGCGCTTCGCGCTCGGGATTTTTAAACCTACAAAACTTGACACTCTCGTTTGTTTGCAACGAAGCTATCGGGAAATACACGATCATTTTGAAGCTCTCGGGGTATTACTACATGCACTGATAGAACGGATTAATTATTGTTAACGAATGGATTTTGGTTGGAGGTTAGGGTCTATTCGGTCCCACCGTTCATTCGTTAATAGTTAACGAATGTATATTTGAGGAGCCTTGTTTGATTTGACTTTCGCCATTCAAGTGAACCATTCGTTAACTATTAACGAATATTCATTTGGTCATATTCAACTCGACCATTCGTTAATAGTTAACGAATCTCGTTTGGAATAAATGAATTATTCTATCAGTGCGGAGACAAATTTTTGATAAAAATTATCCTACCGTTCTATAAAAGTCTATCATGAGTCATCGTTTCCTCATTTCTATCCCGAAATTTAGTAAAAATTAATATATGATGATCGAATTTTATTCTACGTTAGAGAAATTTTATCCTGACGCATCATAAATTTTACCCTTCCAGTCCAATAATTTTTATGTAGATAACAACGAAAATTCTAGAACGGTTGGTAAATTTTACCCTATCGGTACAGTAATTTTTACTCTACCGGCACGGTAATTTTTATTTTTATCAGGATAAAATTTCTCTAACGTAGAATAAAATTTGATCATCATCTATTAATTTTTACTAAATTTCGAGATCGAAATGAGGAAACGATGACTCATGATACACTTTTATAGAACGGTAGGATAATTTTTATCAAAAATTTCTCTCCGTGTACTGAAAACTTGGATATCCTTTCCATTTTAACCTAAACCGTCAAATTTCATAATCATTTTTCCCTAAATCGAATTCAATGTGCCTCATGTGGAAATTACTACCAGATTGTCCATGAAATTTAATTTTTTTTTTTCGAGAAGGGTTGAATCAATCAACTAGATTATTGGAATTGAAAAATAGATTTAGCCTTTTCAAAAAAAAATTATTCTCCGCGCAAGCAAGAAATGTAATTTCTGAAAATCGAGTCAAACAAGGCTCCTCAACTGTGGATTTGTTAACTATTAACAAATGAACATTTAGTGAGACTGAATAGACTCTCGTCTCCAACCAAATCCATTCGGTAACAATAACTAATCCTTTCTATCAGTGCCAGTGATTGACGGACGCGTCACTGACTTACGGTCGGAATGACAAAAAATCACTTGTTTCACACTTTATAACGGACGAAATTTATTTCAATTTGTTACAATTATCGAAATTTCAATGAACAATGTATTTGTCCCTTACAACTTTGAAAATCATCTCTAAGAGGTTGTCAAACTTCGCCGGAAACGGCCTTGTGAAAGTGTCCCCGGGGTCAGCCAAACTTGGCCCCACAAGACTCCCCGTATTCCTTCACCATGTTTCCTTTACAAGTTTCCTTCAGTGAAGACTGAGGGTGAGTGAGAGACTGTAAAACCCCCAAGTGTACCACGAGATCGAAGTCCCGCGGCGTTGCTCCGACACTGTTTATAATTTAGGGGATTCAAACGTTGCCGGTTGTTGGAGAAGAGGAGGGCCCGGCCCCCAGCTCTTGAAAGTAGAGTGGTTGGAGATCCTTGACTTTGGTATAACGTAACTCGAGTGACGTGAGAAACCACTTTTGGACACGATAGTGTAGCGTAACCCATAAAACGTTAAATTCTACCCGAGAAATAACAAAAACTATATTCTTGGAACATCAAACTTGATACTCCACCATTTATTCAATTTTCTGGGAATCGAAAAGTAATTCAACTCCATTAAAAATCCGAGGAAATTTCCAGTTCAGAACGCAAAATGCTCAACGCATTTTCTTCCTAATATTTTCCAATTCGGCGCGGGTCCGCAACAGGTTAAGGTGTATCCCAAGACAATAACACCCAAATGTTAGTCCCTATGGATTTCCGGAAAGAATTTTAAATGACTTAATTTATTGTATTCTCATAAGTTATTGAGTTTTTCTATTCCTATATGTTGATGAGCCAGGCAACAATAACTGTTTGAATCAAATGAAAATTATTTGTTAATCAATTCTTGGAATGGATTAACAAATGGTTGAATATCGCAGAAACTATGTCGCACAAATTTTTCTCTCCTACTTGCGTAGTCGAACGTCACAGCTTTCTTTTGAGCCTCATTTTACCCTCAGTTTCCGGACATTTTATGAGGATTTTATTATTTAAACATTGTAGGTCATAATTTGAATCTCCCTATTCAACCGTTAAAAAACATTTAAAAATTAAAAAAAAATAGAAAGTTTAGTTTTGGAGGAAGATTAATGAAATAATTAAAAAATCGCCATTTTCTAAATTTACGAGCATTTTTATGAATGATTTATAAAGAATCAACTTTCCACCATAAAAATCATTTGTTCGAAAACGTAACAAATTTAGTCATATTTAGAATTTTACCAGAAATCGATTTCGTGGCTAAAAAAATTAGGTTTCCGAAAGTTTCAACAATTTCAATTATTTATTTATAAACACAACAAATGTTTAAAAAAATAATAATGTTGCGCAAAATGCAATTTAAATTATGCTGAATATTCATGATTTTTTTCAAAATTTTTATTACGCAATTTAATTGAAAAATTTGGTGATTGAAAATAGTTGAATTTTTAGTGTCGATTTGTGTGAACAACTCGTAGATAATTTATTTTCTTGCATTAAGGCTATTTGTCAATTATACTCCCTTCTCGCTCCGGAAAAACAGTACGTTTCAGCTGACACTGTTGTTTTCCCAACATGATTTGTTATTCCCCTAGTCAAATGATGTATTGAAAAATAACGAGCTTTCTAATGTATTTGAAATTAATGAGAACAACTTCAATATATCTCTACGTTATACCTGACAGAATTTCAGATTTTTATCTCTATTTAGATCAGATATCATTTCTCCTGTAGTTCCTAAAAGAACTCATGTTATTTTGACATTCAATCGTAAATCTAATTTTATTGTAAATGAACATCCAAGAGGGATTGAAGGTTTTACTAGGTTTATCCTAGCAGGAATTTTATGCAATCTATTTTATATCAAATTTTTTTATAATTTAAAAACTAATGTACTTGGAATTTTCATGTCAACTTAAGGGAGACCGCGGTTGAATTTGGAAATAGTCAGGCGTTGGATACACTGTTAAGAATTTTCGTCTGAAATTTTCGGTACACTTTTCTGAAATTTTGAT